TCCATGGTAATTCGGCTTTTACGAGCTCTCCTTATTGCCAAAATGGTGGATACCTCCATAAGAGAAAGCAGTAACTTCTGCAGCTCAGCGACCTCTGTGAGCAGACCTCAGCCAGGCAAATGGGAGCCCTGATCAATACCTGCACAAGAAACCAGCAATGAAAGAAGAATGCTGCCAAAACGGATGCTGGAGACCCAGCAAGAGACATCTTTCCCCCATACTTTATAAGACTGAAAGGAGCTCAATAATTCCCGCTTACCCAGCTACAGGCTCTCACCTTGACAGCCTGATCTGAATAAGAACGTAGGAATTTTGCTCCTGACTTTACTTCTGACCCTATGCAATTTTGGAAAAGTCGTTTAACCTCCTGAGTCTCTGTTTCCTCGTGTATGAAGCTGAAATATCATACCGAGCCTTGCAAGGATACTTGACATCTTTGATTTTAATGACATGTGTCAGCATAAAGCACTGCTGGTGGCATTACAAGGCTAATTCCCTTGCAACTGCAGTACAGGTATTTTGGGTACAATTATTACCCCTGGGAGTGCTCAGAAATCCTTGCCCCAAATTGTAGGCCTAACAGTCTTTCACATGGGATGGAAAACAGAGGTTCTGACTGCTTACCTAAAGACACGTTTCGAAGAAGCCCATATGTTAGCTTTTCCATGTTCATGCTGTTCCAATTTGGGCAATTACATTCTGACTGCTTAAAGCAGGGGAGCTGACCCGCCTAGCCCTACCAGCTGTATATCCCAATCTTTTTGTGGTCAAGAGCTATGGAACACAAGCCACATATTTCAGAAAGAAAAGTGGAGCTCCAGGAGATGCACTTATGTCATGGGTGCAAAGGAGGGAAGCCTGCCCTGACTTCATCAACTCTCAGGGGCTGGTGGCACTTGGGCTGCAGTGCAAAGCTGTGCGGGGCCAGAGGCACCATCCATGCAGGCAAAAGGCAGCCGTGGCTGGGGCGGCTCTGCGTGGCTCTAGGCACCCACCTCGGGAGGCTGGGGTCCTTCAGGGGCGTGTGGGCAGGCAGGGGACAGGAGAGGGAGCAGAGAGGACCTAGGGCACCATCTGGTGGCTTCACTCACCGCCTTCCCTAAATCCCTGACACAAGGTCACAGCCCTTGCATGGCTGAGGACTGGAGAAACACCAGACTCTGCCGAGAGACCGCCCAGCAGGAAGATGGGACCCCTGCCCTTGGCCCTTTGGGTATTGCTGGGTGGGACAGGGGTCCAAGTAGAGCTGCAGTAGCCATTCCACTTGAGTAAGTAGGTAAGTAAGTAGGTAAGTAAGTGCCTTCTTTTGTAAAAAGATTCAGCCCAAGCTATGTCTTTAGACACCTGCCATAGAAATGTTTAATGTCAATGATACCCCTGAGAAGGGAAAGGAAGATGATCGGAAGACAAAAGCAATGGAAAGCGAATACAATGGACAACACCTTGGTAATGCATTTTGTTTCAGTCACCTATCACAACAAGCTCTTTGTTGTCTACAGATAAAAGGCAAAACGTGGTTGGTATATTTCATGCCATAAAACAGCAGCCATGCAAGAGTTTGTTCTCTACCAAAAAGGATGAAAACAGCAAACCACTCATATGCACTCAGCTTTTTGCCTTCTGAAAGTAGGATTTGCTGGAAAGTGTTGTGAAGGGACTACACGACCTCAGTGCCACCAACACCCCTTAGAGCAGTGCCAGCTAAGACAGTACAGAGAGGATCATCACAGTGAGAGGTTGCATGTTAGGACCAAAAGCTCACTCTTGGTACAGAGGATAAAGGGCCCTGTGTTAATATGGCATCTCCTTTACAAGAAAACAGTGCATTTTCCACCTCGCACCACTGCTTATTTTGATAATGTCTCCACTTCCTGAAATCCTGTCAATACAAAGGGGTAATTTCTCTTAGCTTTCCCACCGCCTGGGAATCAAAGATTACAGCTCTGCAACCTGAGAGCATGTTCTGTGTGTAACAGCACCATGCTGGGGAAAGCGAGCAGAGCCATGGCCCTCAGGGACATCGTTTTCAAGAGGAATCCATTCTCAGCATTCAATTTGGGAATAACACAATGAGTCCATCATCAAGTCTCACTCGTGTGGAGCAGGGGTAGATAATCTTTAACTTCTCTTCTTCTTATTATGCTTCATTATTATTATTATTATTATTATTTGTATTGTTCCACACTTAAAAACAGTCTCTTTCTGCATCTATTCTCAGGGACCATGCAGACAAGAGCAAACGACTGCCATTTTTTTTTTTTTTTTTCTTTTTCTGAGCAAATCTTTGCTATAAAGAAACTGAATCAATATTATATAAATTTATATTCACTGGTTTCTCCTACCTGCGCCAGAGGGCATTTCCTCATACCTCCTTGGAAAACTCTGTACCATTTAAAAACAACTCTTCTCTCACCATCTTCTACTTTACACCTTTCTCTCTCACACGCTCTGGGTGGCTGCCCACAGTGCACAGAGCTGGAGAAGTGATACTAGCTTCAGGCTACGCAGCTTCCAAGCTTCCTTTTCTCAAGCAGCAGTCTTTTAGCCTCGCAGAACCAATCCCAAACCCATTGAAATCAACACAGCAACTCCTCCTGACTTTGACAGGCTCTGGCACGCAGCCCAAATCCCCAGACTTTCAGCGTTTCTTGGACATTTTTACTTTTTCACTTGATTGATCGGAACCGGTTGGGATTCGTTCAGTACTTGAGCATTGACTGTTCTAAAATAGCCTTTCTATTCCAAATATCATTCTTTTTCTTACGTTTCGTTTAAAACACCTTCTGCTACTTAATATATAGAATTGTTCAGACACAAATGTAAAGAACACTACTTAATAGAAAGGCAAAGCAAAACACTTCACTGCAAAGTGAGATCTTTGCCAGGAAATTTGCAGCACTATTATTTTTAGCATGTATAAAATTTAAAAAGCAAAACACACACACACACACAAAACAACAAGCAGCATTATTTTGAAAGCTTACACTTTTCATCTCAACCAGCTCCTTTAGAAGATTTTATTACCACACTACCATGTATTTATATTTCATCTCATCATTTCTTCAAATTTGTTAAGGAAAGGAAGCATTACACCCGCATGATTCCCTGTTTCTGTTTTTGTTTTGTTGTTGCTGTTTGTTTTTGTTGTGGGTTTTTTTCTGAGAAATGTTTTTATTCCAATTACTATTTCTGGTCACATTAATAAATACTAAAATTGCTGAGTTCAAAAATTTTATTTCTAATTATTGTGTTCTCTTAACAACCGGAAGACAAGCCTAGTGAGACACACTGTCTATTTATTGCTCTTTCTGAAATGAATTCCTCAACACTGGGAAGAGAAAAAGCGTTTTCCTGTGGTTAAAGAAAGTCCAAATTGCATGTCTGAAATCTCTTCTAATAAAAAGAGCAAAGCAATAAGCGGATTATCTCTTTAAACATAGTATAGGAAGGTTGGAGGCCCTGGAGACATTTTCCATAGCCTCTATCTCTGATGCATAGCAACATTATCTTCAACTAGAGAGGGTCGTATGACCCTGGAGCTCCGTTTTAATTTGATCTTCTTCTTTAAAGAGGTTTCTATGATTCCTCTCAAGTTATGCTACATATTCTTATTTTGGGTTGGTTTTGTTTGGTTGTTATTTTGTTGTTGTTTTTTTAATCTGAGATAAAACGGCCCCAGCTTTTTGATCCACTGGCTTGATCGTGTTATATGGATATTAAATGTAACCTTTTCTCTACCAGAACTAGCATATGCATCAGCACTAAAGGTAGGCAAGTTCCAGCTGACAGGAGAGAGAAGCGCTTGGATAGAAAATTCACCTTGAGGGTCTCTCTCCTCACTCTGGTCATTCTAAGTTTGAGAACTCGTCCATCTGCCAAAATAATCTATGAGGGAAAACAAAGCAGAACAAAACTTCTATCTTTGTTGGGAAATAATGGCCGGCTGAAACAAAGGCAAACCTATGGATTTTGGTGAGGCAGAGATACCAAATCTCCTCCTGCAGAAATTCAAAATCCCAAACAGTAAGAATGCCCATTGCCAAAAAGAACAGCAAGCTGGGGAGATCAGCTTGAACTTCTCAGGCTGAGACGTAGCCCCAGAACTGTTTGGATTACGCCACCCAGCAAGGGAGTTTCCTCAGGTTCCCGGCTTTTCCTTTTCCTTGTTCTGGATGTTCCCACTGCCACTGGGACATCTTGGCAGGCAAGGATATTTTCTCTGTCTTCCTCAAATCCATTTTTATTTCTGTTCATGCATCCATCCCTCAGCCAATACTGCTGATATTGCTGAAGAGAAAGCATTTCTCCCAAGGCACTGATTTGAGTCAGTTGAGTATGGTCGCAGCAGGCATCTGTGACTACTTGATGGGATTAGCAGATTATGAGAAAGCATGTTTCGCTGTGGGGATCCTGAGAAAGGAAAAATGGGCAGGTGGATGCTTGAATCTTCGTTAAACTATGCATGAAGGCCTGATGGCTGTGTCAGGAAAGCCATAGGCACAGGATCAGATGGACTGCTGCAGATCAGGATTCAAAGATCAAGCCAGCAAGCAGGGAGGTCTCTGGACTGTGATACCACCTCCAGAGGATCAAGATTCAAGTATTTCAGCCAGGCCAGGTGAGAGAAACCTGCACAGATCCCATCTGCACCATTTTTAAGATATGTGACTGCTCGACAAAAAACAGCTTTTCTTTTGCATCAAACAGCTTTGCTGCAAAATAGCTTTGCTGCATAAATACAGACTGAGCCCCCGTGGGATCTGAACAGGTGTATTCTGCTGCTAATGAAGTGCAGTCTGGAGGGAGCCCAAGGTTCATGAGTTCCCCGTGGCTGTGCCCTGAAGTCACTGTGGGTCTTCACAGAGAACCGAGGGTGTAGAAAGTAGCTCTGTCGCGCAGGAAGATGTCTGATCCACACAGCGTCAGTTTTTCCCTTAGATATTCTCATACAGTGTATCACTGTATTCTTCTACAGTTTCTTCCTTCTTAGGCGTCTGCAGAATGATGAAAAGGAGAAAAAAGAAATGGAGGAAAATTATTCAAAAGAAGATGAATTAATCCTTAATCAGCAGACACTGATGTTTGTTCTGTTAGAAATGGCTGTAAGAGATCTGCTGAAACGGAAGCCGCTTTGCTGAGAAATGTTGCTCCAAAAGAGACGAACGTGACTAATCCAGCCCAAGGGATAAAGATGCCTCCTTTACTTGTCACTCTTCGCCCAAAAAGCCGTCAGACAAGTAGGGGAGGGAAAATTGGACTCGGTAAAAAAATAAATCACTTTGGATTCTGTGAAGGAGGAATTCCCTGACCTCCCCAATCCGGTTTCTTCAACAGTTGAGTCTATTCCTCACGACTGTTCCCTGTGTAGACAAGGCGCTGACATACTGATATTTTAAGCGCCGCGTGGCACAGGCCTGCTGTAAGCAAGGTTATGCAGTGAGTAGCTGGAATGCCAGAGGCTGAATGGAGCCCTACCTACACTAGCTTCTTCTCTGTTGCCACCACCAAAGGGAAATGTTCTACAAAATCTGAGTGCGGGCACCTCCATAGCAGGAACAGACACTAGAGGATTAACCCATCACCACCCAGGCTGGCTGTCAGCACAATGCAACAGCTTGCAAATGCTCTTGCTTCAAGTGCTCTCTGCGCTGCTTCACTTGACATGCACCATCCTGCACCAAGGGCTGGCTGTGATCCTCTGCAGTGAGTCTCAGCCACAGTTCAGCAACTCAAGCTTCCTGCTGCAGCCCAAACCCGCTGACCCACAAGGTTTGCTCTTACAAAAACACCCTATTAGGTTCTGACATGGCCAGCTAGAGGATGAACATCTCAGGTGGCCAGAGCCCAGGAAGATGGAGCGGGAAGCTGATCAAGAGGTTTTGCCTCTGCAGTGAGAAGTACAGTCAAATTCACCTGTGCAGAGAAGGCCGTATCCCTTCGAGGGGAACCCAGCTCATTCCTGGCTTTTGTGAAACAACCTCAGAGATTAATACAATTCTCCCACTTTTCCATTTTAAATCATTGTTCACTGCGCAGAGAGCCCAAGGCCTTGGCATTCTCTTCCAATCCTCACAGTTGTTCCTACTGCAGAAGCTCCTTTCCACTCTCCACACTTGCACTTGGAGAGGATAAGTAGAACCCTGAGGTGGGACAGAGCAGAGGAGGTGATGGAGCCCTGCCACTCACACTTCCCTTTTTCTGACCAGCATGAAGACTGAACACACTCAGAAGTGTGTCTGCTCATGACAGTGAGAGCTCATCCCATCACCTCTTTTTGCTCTCTTCTCCTTTGTTTCTCCCACCTCTTTTTCGATCTTTACCTCTTCCCCGCTGAGACCACAAGAGCCAGACCCACTTGCACACAGACACTCCTTTGCTCTTGCTTTGTTGCTTTGTTCCCGCTGTTTTACAAGTCTGCTGGCCCCTAAAGCAGTTCAGTGGTGTGGGCCACACACAGGTGATTCAGCGCAGCCCAGACAACTCCATGGTAGGAAAAAAGACGTACTGCATCTCCTCATTCAGACCAAATCATTTAGAAGGAGGCAGCTGATAAAGGTATACAGATGAATAAATAGGACAGAGAAGAGGAATCTGGACTGACTGATCTTCCTACCCAATTAGTTCAAAATGCAAGAACACAAGAACAGGAATGCTGTCTCTTCCAGTACGTAAGATGCACTGTGGTAGAAGACAGCTTATATAAAAGAACCTATTCTTCCCTTCAGTAATCAATTGCTGTAATCAGATACCTGCCACTGCCTCTGCTACAACCGCTTTAAAACCACAGCACTAACTGCAGCATGCCACCGGTGCTGGAAGGAGAACACATGCAACCAGCTCTGACATGGAAGAAAGCACTTGGTTCTGTACCACTGGATTTGTGACAGTGCTTCAGACACTGGACAATACTGTCCTTCCTTCATGAAACAGAGGGATGGTGCCAGGTGAAGCTGGCTGCAGGCACCAACTGCATAGTTAACCTGCAGAATGCTCTGCAGCAGGACATCAGAGGGAGAAGCAGGAGACATTTTTCAGAAAAATTTTCCAGTGTTAGAAGAGTGAATCTACTTTTTAAGTAGACAAGAGTTCTGGAGGGGAAATGAACAACAAAGATCTGAGGGCAGGAAGGAAGCGTTCCCTGGGGTTTTGTCCTTAGAAACATCTGATACTTGTGCTAAGGGCAGGGTGCAGGGCTGTGTGGGCCTCCAGTCTACACCATACGGCCCCCACAATTGATCCATGCCTGCATATTCCAAGCTACTTTCATTATGAGTGGATTCAGTTCCCTGTCTCTAACTCGTAACTCTCAGCCGAGCAAGAAGATCCAAGACGTAGCCATACTGCCTTTTCCTGCCTCTGTTAAGGCCATCTTACCTTCTTTTACCAGGTGCTTAATCTTGCAGGTGCTTAATGCCAGCCAGAGTAAAACTGTGTCCCAAGTCTGCCCCTAGTGCACAGATTCTTCTGTAATGGAGGACTTCTTGGCTGCCTAAACAATCTGGAGAAGGTAATAGTGGAGGGCAGCATCTGGCCAACCCTCCATGAATATCTGGGCCATTTAGAGGGAGTAATGCCAAACTTCTCAACACCTTTCAGCAAAGCATCTGCATAAAGCCAGGACTGCCAGAATCAGTAACACTGAAGGAGCAGGGGTTCTGTCAGAAGCAGGAACATACACTACATGTGCAGCCCAGCTGGCGAGTGGATGTCACGTCCCATTTTCCTCTTTCAGTGGGGCTGGAAGTGGGGAAATAGCAGACACGTTTACTACCTGCCAGGGCCGTGGTGCCTCTGAGCTTTCCAGTTTCTAAGGGAATTCTCTAAGAACGAACACAGCCCCAGTCTTTACCTTGCCTGGAAGACTTTTTCTGTGTTCTGGGATCTTTGTGTTGTTCTTGAGGACAGAGTAGACCTCAACTTGCTGCGAATCCAGGCACTGGAAGAAAGAAAAGGGTAGGGTTCACATTAAATGCTTAGGTTTAAGCACACCTGATTCCTCATCTTGTGCCTGCTGTTTCTGACCTACAAAATTCTGAAGTTCCTGTCTTGCACAAAAATAAAATAATTCTTTGTCCTAAAACTTCTACAGTGCAGTTTCATCACCTTTCTTTTTCAGGCTGATAGACACAGGTTATGACATTACCTATCCAATGTAAGGCAGAAGAGAACAATGCCAATGTCCCTGCTTCCCTCCAAATCGTCACAGAATGCGTAAGAAAGACCTCCCTGTCTGTGGTGCACAAAGGGAACCACAGGTAACAGGCAGCAAGCTGCATCTCTCAAGACTGTTTGGATGCCTAACAGCCAGAGGTTCTTGCTCTTGGTTGTTCTGGGCATACAGTGACGAGAAGGGAGTTTAGTCTGGGGTCCTGAAAAACAGGGCTGTTGAAAACAGGAAATCCTACAATAGGCACAATTTCTGTTTATTGCCTGGTATTTTTTTTTTCCAAGCTAGAACTGTCTTTTCTTCTTAAAGAATAATAATAATAAAAAAAATCAATACACTTGCAGGCCCACAAATATATCTGCGGTCCCACACGGATACAGAGAAACACACACACGTTCTACATGTGTATGCACCCGTTGGTCCCCCAGGTAATCATGTCACTAGAGATGCATGTCAGTTTGAGTGATGTTCCAGATCTGCCTGAAGGATCAAACATAACAATCAGGAGGACTTTTCCATGTGTGTTTCAAGGATGACAGCAGGTTGCCAAGGTGGCTGTTTCTCTGGCAACAGTAAGATGGGAGGAGCTCAGCCGTAAGAGGGGCAGATGGTATTAGTGGAGAGAGTGTGGAGGGAGCAAGGCGCCCTGCAATACAGCAAAGGGGACTAGCAAAATACAGGGGGTTTCTCCTGGCACTGCCAGTCATCTGACCCCCATCGTTTCATAGGGAGCTCAGCATCTTTCTGGATCATGGCCAGCAGGACTGAGGTTAGAACAGGACAAGATGATAGCGGAGCAGCATTTGGAAATGGGGCTGGGAGCAAGCCCCCATCAGGAAGGACCACAGTGAAAGAAACTCCATGTGGCTCTCCCGTTTCCACTCCTCCTCCTCTGTAAGAAGTCAAAGTACTTCACTTGTCCATGTCTCTCTCCCAAGATCCCACTTGCCTGAAGCACACATTCCCAACTACTTCTGTGTGCACAAGCGTGCACAGAAAATCTCATTTCCCTTTCCTCATTTTCAATTCTCTTTGTGATGCTTGCAGTGAGGACCCTGTCCTCTGTGCAGTGCTCCTAACAGCCTGGCTCTGCATCCCATTGACATGGCAGGCAGCCTTTTTCATTGCTCTAGTCCAAAGCCATTCACGAGCAAGACGTATCCTTTTAGTGCTTAAACCCTCAAAGAGATTCCCTCTTTTTGCAAGCCCTCCTTCCCACGGAGGTTCCTGATAATGCTTTGCTGACCAGTTGGAAGGCTAGTGTCTCCAACTGCCATTTGCAAATCAATTACTTGTACATGGTCACTGAGCACCTGCTACAGTCACAGTGGTAGCACGCAGGCCTCTCCCCTGCTGGCAGATGCCTTCTCAAAAAGCTCCTGTGCTCTGGAACTCGCCTGCACTGCAGGAGCTCTGTTTGCTGCTGAAAGAAAAAGCAGCACTTGTTTGAAGTGTAAAGCAGGCGAAGCGAGGCCCTTGGATTGTTATTTCCAAGCTGCTCATTAACTAGGCAGCTAAGCTGGAAGATGGAGAGAAATACAGGTTTTGGTCCGGGTGATGCGATGAACTCCTCTGGGACCGCAGGAGAGTGAAGAGGCCTTGCAGTGCTTACAGTGTAGTGGAACAAAGCAGGTGTCCAGCTGTCCCCACTACAGGGACTTTGTACAATCTCAAGCTGCATTTCACTGCATACACTCTCCCTTAGGGACCATAAGGTGTCACCTGGAATAGATGGTGGGGAGAGCATTTGCTCCTAGCGACGTGCAGCAGAATGGTTTTGCAGAAGGTGTGCTGGGAGCCTTTCTGTGCCAGGGGCAAGCCTTGCTGCCAGGGAAGATAGCACAGACCATTTAACAAGCTGCACCAGCCAGTTCCAAGTCCTTGCCTGTATGTCCAGTCCTGCCGTCTGTTGTGTCTGCTCCAAGCTCCAGGCTCACTAGAACACTGTGGCTCCCTAACTTTTTTCCAGACTTGAACCTTCTGCCTTCCCTCACAGACAGCATATCTGGCACATGCTGGCCTCCTGTCCCTTCACCTAATCTCTGATCTCCCTCTTTATCTCATCAGTAGAAGTGACTTTCCAGTCAACCATACCATTCCCTTGCCTTAGCTTCCCCCAGAGTTGACCACAGATAGAAATCTATCCCTCCCTTCCCCAGGAATGAAGCGCTGTGTGTTCAGCAACCTGGTTAAGCACCAACAGGATTTCACAGAGCATGTTCTCCATCCCAGGGCTCACCATCTCCTCCCAGTTATCTTTCCCATAACATCTCAGAGCCCTGCTCTTACCGTGCGCTGCGTCTGCTGCGGGAGTTGCTGCCTCATGCCTGAACGAGTCACAGCATCTGCTCTATGGGGCAGGCTCACACCCCATGGCATACATGACATGATTTGAGGCTGCCTGCAGCTCTGCCAAAGAGGGCTGAGCTGCCTGCCCTGCACACTGGGCTGGCTGCAAGCCCTGCACAGCTGGCGTGCGGCTAATGGGCTATGGGGGAAGGCTGGATGGGCCAGGTCCATAGGGCTCCTGGAAGCACAGGAGCCCAGCCAGCTACTGGGACTGCCTGTGCCTAAGGCTGGCTCTGCTGGCTTGCTGCATTAGCCTTAGTGGGGCCTCCTGAACAGAACAACATGATGAAACATGTAATTAAGATGGAGCTAAGGATGCATGACGAGGCCGACTGAGCGAGAAATGGATTTGAATTTTTTTTTGTCTCCTTGCAGAAATCATCCACTTCAGCAGGAAACTACCCATTTGGATTTTTAAAAGACAGAATTAAAAAGAAATTACTTGATACAAATGAAAAGGTTTATAACCTGCAACATCCTTTACCAAAAGCATTTCTTTTTACCCAGAATAAACATATCACATACCATGTACAGTGCTTTCTTTTAAACCTCCATTCCAGAAACTGAAGGGCCACAAAGCAGTGCCCCCCACTCAGTGAAGTGTGAACAAGAAGGGGGCAGGCCTGCCCTTGCTTTCACATCTGCCCCCTATCAGATTTCCATGCCTCTTTGGCAGGGCTTTGCTCTTCTCCGCAGTACATTCTCCAGAGCTCTGCTTTGTTTAGTTTAAATGATTCATGCAGCTGAGGTTTTCCTTGGAGAGACTTTTCTAGCCCTTACAGACCTCACAGTCAGAAAGGTTTCCTAATATTCAGGCAACATCCTTCTCTACTCACTTTCATTTCATTCCTCCTCATTTGTCCCACAGACCATGTGGAAAAAAAATAAATGAAATAAATCATTCCCTTCTTAGCAAAGCAGCCCTCCCATGGGAGTTAAAGGGAAAAAAAAGAAAAAAAAAAAAGGAATTCATTTTAAATGGAACTGGATGGGCTGCAAATGTGATTAGGAGTCATGGTTTCTTGAGGTAGCCAAGGTCTGGGCTTGACGTTTCAGGAGAGCCACTCCAATCCTATTACCTATGACACTGCCACTACTGGGCTCATAGAGTGGCAGCAGTCAGTGTTCTCCATTCTGGAGAATGGAGAAAGGAGAGAGGCTGCATTTTATGCAGTTGAAAAGGGGAAATGCCCCAAAAAAATCTCTTTTCACTTTCTTCCTGTCCTTTTCCTCAGATGCTAGTCAGCCAGCTCAGGACTGCAGTGGTCCATGCCACTCACACCAGCAAAGCCTCTAAAAAGTTGTTGGTGGGAGTGTTTCTCTCTCTGTCACTGAGTCATCACTGTCCACCTGAGAAAAGCATGTCACTGAGACACTTTGCAGTACAAGTGAGGCTGAGGTCCAGTCTTCCCTTCTGACTTCTGGAGGCCCTTCCACCTCCAGTGCCAGGAGCTCTCCACGGCCCCATGCTTGCTGCTCAGTCACGTGCTGCTGGCGGAGGGAAGGGTGCTGCCCACCAGCACAGGGCATGGCACAAGGCTTTGGCACTGGGAACAGGATTGAGACGTGCACAGCCCTGAGAGGAGCTGGCCAGGGCAGAGCACAGAAATGGGGCTGCCAGGTATATAGCTATCACTGCTGCTGAGATGGAGGGTGATTCTGATACTCACGTCATAAACAGGAGAAGATGGTGGTGGGCTTGATGAAGGAGGCTGAGTTTCTGTCTGCTGTCTCCTGATATTTAGTTGGTTCTTTTTAGGACACAATATCTGCTCAGGACAAAACATAGAATTACACATTTGGAAAAAATAACATTTCCCCAAGGATGAAATGAATGCCAGTGTCACATCAGAGCCAGCTGCCTACACACCCTCCAAGTACTCGCACAGTAGAGAATGATGGCATTCTGCACAACACAGGCCAGTCACTTTTCTCACCACTGAGTGAAAGGAAGGAGTCTGACAACTGACACTGAAGCACTGGAAAGCAGAACTGGGCTCTGTCTGTATGTAGAAATCAGCTCTACCACTGACAGCAGGATGGAGGGAATAGCTATTTAACAGCATATGACAATGCTGAAGGATGAGGAATAAAGCAGAGCCCTGTTCAAAGTGCAAGAGGAATTTCAGAGAGGCAGAATGCAGTGATTTTTGTGAGGATTTAGCTGGGAAGACGTAGCTAATACACAGAGTCTAAAGAAAAGCACCAGACAGGCATTAATGATGACATATAGTCATTGATACACTAACAGGCAGGTCCGGCACGGAGTTATGGAGTTGAAGGAAGAAAGTCTTTTCCTCTGAATTGTTTCTCGCGTCGGACGGCTTCTCCTTGAAAATGCTTCATTCATGCACAGGTAAGGGTTAGCACTGCTCAGCAAGCAAAAGAAAGAGGCAGAGAAGGCAGAAAGCTTTGCTAAGTATCTCTGTTTTAATTCAGAAAGAAGTGGGATGATTATATTCACATCACATGAAAACAATGAACTGCTTTCCAGTCCATTAGTAACTAAGGAGGATGCTAAATAGCTTCTCTTAAAGATAAACATTTTTAAACCAGCAGGTCTGAGCAAGCTGTGGTGAGAAATATGGTCTGTGTTCAGCAGGAGGGCAAATGTAATGACTGCATGATCTCTTCAGGCCCCAAGGAGAGCCTGTAGGTCTGAGACTTGCTGGCCTGCCTCAAAGTCTAGAGGGGCCAACTGGCAAGCTGTGAGAGTGCCTCCCTCCTATCCCCATGGAGATGCTATCTAGGCAGGCAGAGCTGGGGGTTCATCTCCAGCCTAGTCACTCTGTCTCTAACTCCTTCCCCTTCCACCTGCCTGCCTGCAAGGTAAATCTCACGAGATTTGCAGGTCTGCCAACTGCTACCACTCTGTGTTCAATCTCACTATCTCTGAATGTGCATGCTGAAGCCTGATGCTCCTTGGAGCCAAAGGTCTGCATCAGCAACGTAGCTTTCACATAAAAACGTGCACAGACTGCTGCTGTAATGGCAGAGGGCAGCTTGACAGAGTAAATATGGGTGGATACAATACCTAAAAAAACATAATTCCCCAAATTCAGTTCTAAAATACATCAAGTCTATTCAAGCCAGCTTTAAGATATCCAAAAGATTGCAAAGGAACATCTGAGGGTAGCAGTAATGCTAGAGGGGAGCTGGAGGGGAGCTCTGCGGAAAGGGACCTGGGTGTCCTGGTGGACGACAGATTGGCCATGAGCCAGCAGTGTGCCCTTGTGGCCAAGAGGGCCAATGGCATCCCGGGGTGCATTAAAAAGAGCGTGGCCAGCAGGTGAAGGGAGGTGATCCTCCCCTCTACTCTGCCCTGGTAAGGCCTCATCTGGAGTACTGCGTCCAGTTCTGGGCTCCCCAGTACAAAAAAGACAAGGATCTCTTGGAAAGAGTCCAGCGGAGGGCCACGGAGATGGTGAAGGGCCTGGAGCATCTCTCCTATGAGGAAAGGCTGAGTGAACTGGGTCTGTTCAGCCTTGAGAAAAGGAGACTGAGAGGGGACCTGATCCAGGTCTATAAATATCTAAGGTGTGGGGGGCTGAATGGCGAGGCCAGACTGTTTTCAGTGGTGAGTGGAGACAGGACAAGGGGAAACGGCTGGAAACTGCAGCACAGGAAGTTCTGCACAAACGTGCGCAAGAACTTCTTTACAGTGAGGTGACGGAGCACTGGAACAGGCTGCCCAGGGAGGTGGGGGAGTCTCCTTGTCTGGAGATGTTCAAGACCTGCCTGGATGCCTACCTGTGCGACCTGCTGTAGGGAACCTGCTTTGGCAGGGGGTTTGGACACGATGATCTCTGGAGGTCCCTTCCAACCCCTACAATTCTGTGATTCTGTGATTCTGTAATAGAACAGCAGATTTCGCCTGGCCAACAGAGATTCCAGTATTAAAACTTCAAAGTTGATTCCACAGGGCTCCTGACTCATTTAGACCTTTCAGTCCTACTTTCAGCTCTTCTTCTCCTGCTCTGCACCTCTTTTATTCCCCACTTGTGGTTTCTCCTTTACCCTCTGTTCTTTCTCACCCAGATGGTTCAAGCCTATGCTACTGGCCTTCTCAACCAAAGGTCCCTGTGAGCCCAGTCTTAATACCCTTCTCCAGGCTCTAGTGCTTTCTCACTCTGGCTCCCAGTCCCAATTTCCCTCCCAAGTCCCTTCATTTCAGCCTCACAGAACCACTGACATTTGAAGATGCCTCTGGAGTTTGTCTAGTGTAATCTGCAGCCTGCTCAGGGTCAACTTAGGCAGGCTGCTCAGAATTTTGTCTCACTCTTTTTTCCCAGTCAGCTGTGACCTCTACACAGGCTTCCTTGAGATCTTACCATGACCTTCCCCTTTAACACTGTCTCCTAATGTTTGCTCTGCCAAGCATATGCTCGATATTCTGGTCCTCATCCCCTCCACACTGCAAACTGTTGTTTTCTAAACAACAGCCAACCTATGGCTCAGGAATGCAGTTGAAGTTTCCTTTCATCAGGTCATGCCTTTGCAACAGAGTAGGCCCCATCTTGAAAAAGGATTAGAAACAGGGAAAGCGTTGCTCTCCTTCCACTACTGGGACTGCAACAGACACACAGGACATGCTGTGTGGAAGGACAGCCTTGCACAGGATCCCTTCGACAACTGAGCTGCTAAATTGACAAGAGCCACAAACTAAGCATGCAGAAACTGCAATTTTCCAAGGACCCATCACAAGGCTGCTTGAATATTCTCAGGGCCAGCACACTGCTGGTGTGACTGCCCGCCCCATCTCTGATCCTTGCTCTAAAGCAGAGCATGCCAAAGTCAAAATGGTTATTAGAATTTATTTAATGGACAAATCAATGACTCGCTTTATCTTTTCTGTAATCTTTTTTCTCAGAATGACTGAACTTAGAAAAAGAAAATAAACCTGAGGCAGACACTCAGCATGGAAAATTTCAGCACGGGGAGTTCCAATCCAGCCAAGTTAGAAGCAAGTGAAATAAATTCCTAGAATGGGCCGTGTCAGGTATTGGTTTTTATTTGGTAATAACTTGCCTTTCTTTTCCACACTAGCAGAGCTGTTGCGGCGATGCTCAGTGCAGCCAGAAGAGTGGTAAAGGTAATGAGAATTTCTCGCCCATGAGAGGTCTGTGCATATCCTGTACCTGTGGGAAAGAAGGCAAAAGATTCATCCTGTGAGCAGAAATTATGTTTCTTGTGTTCTTAACAGATTAGAGGGAGGTGACATATATATGGCAGCCAAAAAGGCTGGTAGGTAGTTAGAGGTTGGGAAAGGTCTTGAGTGATGGGGGAGAAAGGCAGATAGTGGAAAGCACGCAGGCTACATGAAAGAGCAGAGTGGGTACTGCAAACATCCCCTGACCGGCGCAGCACAGGGATTTTTCATCGTGGCTCTTCACATTTACCCTAAGCAATTCTTCATATCCAGCATTCAGTAATGCAAATCCAGCCAATCAGCAGCATGCACTTTCTGACCACATTTCTAAAGCATTTGCTCTTATCTTTCTCCGAAGGTCTCCCTTGTTTTCCAGTCTGTGCATCAGTGGAACAACTGAAACCTTGTAACCACGTGGAAAAAGGGGAGGGATTAGGGTGAGCCCCTAGACTGACTGTGAGCCCCCAACAGCCAGCACCTAACCTCTACATCCGATCACAGTGAGCACCATAACCACCGACCTCATTTTCATCCATCTCTGTCACTCTGATAAAGGCCAAACCATGCTGTGTCCTGGACACTGACACTAAAAACACCCTACCTGGTCCCTGTTTAGAGCTTGATTTTAAGGCTGGTGCTCCCAAGTGCCTGTGGAGGGTAGGTAAAAATTCCTGTTTATTCACGTTACCACCTGTGACTTGGGAACAATGGCACAGGTAACCTGTGTAAAACACACTCAACTGGCATTAAATATTGGGTATTAAGCATTACTCCTATCTGACTTTATAGCTTGCTCGGGTAGAGGAAGATAAGAGTACAGATCATATTTTCATAGTAAAATCCAGCTGATCTTTAACTGTACACCCCTCCTTTCTGGTTGTTCACTTACCTCTAACAAGGACAAACACTCCCTTTCCCTTTATCTGGATGTCATTCCACTGGACTTTGCAGTAGTATGTGCCAGTAGAAGAGGTGCTTTCAAGCGGCTTTGTTTCGTGATTGTAAGATTTGATGGCAGTCCTATTCTCTTTTCCAGGAGGGATATCTACTTGTTCTTTCTTATTACAGATGGATACTTCCTGGTCCCATGCATTAATCCAGTAATAGAAGATTGTAAATCTGGTGTATTTCAGTGTGTATGGGAAGATGACTTCACAGGGGATGGATACTTTTTCCTTAAGCAGTGCAACCTGGATTAGAGGTTTCTGCTGTACGCTGACATCTCCTCCTGCAAGGGTGATAATTGTTAGCAGTCATCTATAAGTCAGGAGAAAATTGCTGCCCCAAAGACATGATCACATGGTGAAAATAAATGTACGCCGAGAAGCATGTCTAGAGCAAGCAGTGCTGGCCCTTGTCAGAAACTGAGTGATGCAGAGCACGTGCCCCTTGTGATCTGCCACATCTCTTAGGTAATTGCTGTGTGATTTGAGATAGCCTGTTGCAATCACAGGCTTCCCCTTTTCCCTTGTGAGCTCCTCTGCACAACGCCAGCGTACAGAAAGACAGGAAATGAAGCAGGAAGTGAACTGATTTTGCACTGGTGTGAGACTACTTACAAATTATGAAAAAGGAAAGCAATTTTCCATGACAAACACTAGCTGGATGTGTTCTGTAACTCCTGAGTTACAATGCTCTGCTCAGGTGCCTACACCTGCACGTGACCACTCTACACCAGCAAGAAGGTGCTGTGTGCAAGCAGGTGCCTCTGAGGAACAGTGCGTCTCTGAAACATGAGTGAGGAAGGAAATTGCATACTGTGCACGGGGCCCAGCGCCGGGGCCATGAGAAATAAGGCACAGCTTCATCACTCCCAACTTCTGCTGCTGTAAATGGGCAGCAAAGCACAGAAGTGGTTGCTAGATGCAGGAACTATTTGCGGAAGACTGCAGATCTTAAATATCTACGTGTGACAGTGTCTCAAGCAGAGATGGGAGATCATGCCCTTCATGTGCTTCCTCCTTACTTGGGTCTGTTGAAAGTAATCTGTCACTGCAACTCAGTAGGCAATGGTGCAGGGAGTTACAAGAGAGGATGAACAAGCACAAATGGGGAACCACAACAAAGTTTGCTCTCTATTTCATAAAATAAAAGGAAAAAAAAGCCAAGAGTGAATCTAATAAAGAGCCTGGGATACAAGATCACTTGGCATCCCAGTCAAATCTGGGTTTAACATCAGACTCTGATCTATTTATTTGGTAGCTGATAGAATACCACAAATAAGCCCTTTAAGAGGAGGCCTGTGCAAAGCACTGTTGGACTTAAAAAAGGGAACTGGAAACTTGCATTCAAGTTTTGTCACCAAATGATGGAGTCGGGATTCTTTCACTGACGTGAAAATAAAAGGGGAAAAATATAGAGAGGTAAAGTAGAGCTTTTCCATTCGTGGTTTTGATGGCACTCTCTGGGGTTCAGCATCTATAATAGGATCATAACAAGGCATTAATAACGTGGACCCAGAACACTGCCAGACTTGCTTTCCTGTCATCATGCAGTAATGCTGCATCGGAACAGCAGTATCCATCTCTGTGTGAAGGGACCCAGCGTCGGAAGAGGCAGCCCTGACAATGCTACAGAATGCAGACCACTAAGGAGAATTGAGGGGTGGAATGACAGAAGGAGGGCACAACCGCTGTCCAGAAAAGACTGCAGGGAAGTAACATCAGTTAAGGAAAATCCTCTACAGATGGCATAGCCAAGTACAGTAGCCCAAGAGTAAGGAAGAGCTTAGGTTACATCATTAGAAAAGGGTTCTTGGCTGTAAAAGCAACTAGGATACAATGAAATCCTAAGGGACTTGGTCTTTGTGAGTGTACAGTCCTGTGTGCACTAGATATAATGTCATGGAAAGGAGGCAACAGAAAATCCTGCAGCCACAGTGGGAGTGATAACCTGAGTAGTCTCTTCTGGGCCTTATTTTCTAAAATAAATCACCATCCTTCTCGCCATCTCTACCAGCAGAACACACATGAATGCAGTTTTTATACAGGGCATTGTAAAGCATCGCTGTAAAAAAGCAGAGGAGAGATCCATCTTCTTACAGTATCCCAGGAGCCATTAGTTTGAGAAGAACATGCCAGGGAAAAAGCCAAACCATTTTATTTAGGTTATATAACCCTTCTCCCATGTTCCCCCTTTCTTAAGGATTCTCTCTCTGAGCTTTGAAATGCTTAAAAGACAGAAATAGCAGCAGTGTGCAAATTCCTAGAGGGAAGCTCTGGAAATTAGCAGAAGATAGCAGCTGGAAATGCTCTAATATGAACAAACGTGAGAGTAAACAGAAGGGAAAAAAAAAAAACAACTTTTTTACCTCCGTAGTGAAGCAACCAAAGAAACAGGAAGATGACTTTTAGATTAGAGCCCATGGTAAGGTCAAAAGGCTGTAAGAAAGCAACCAGAGATGAATATCCAGAAGGCAAAAAGAAATTGTTTTTCACGAGGTCTTCCTGCATCTGAAAGGCCGTTTGATCCCCTCCCGTTTGTGCAGGGACAGGCGGGACAGACACACACTGCTTTTGGCAAGCTGTTCCTGGCAGATGCAACCTCTTCTGCTTTTCTGTCAGACTCCTCCCTGCACTGTGGTTCGTTTCTCTGCACTATTATCACGGTGTTATATCTATCAACAGGTGTCAAAAGATTAGGCTGTAAGCTCTTTAACGCACAGAGCTTTGTCTTCCAATGACCATAAAACATCACACGCATTTAAAGCAAACTTTGTCACCTTCTGTAGTGACCAAAGCCCCAGGTTGGAATACAGAGAAAAACATGCTTTGACTGATGCAGCTTGAGGTCATTTGAGGTAAACGTAGTCAAATTCATTGAACAAGTCAACTGATTCTAGAGCAATGGACAAGCTTAAAAGTGGCACATCAGGGTTTTTACCATAATTTTATAGGAATTTGTTCATACATTTGTTTTGGAACAGCTATCCCTGACTACTTCACTGCACTGACTATCCAGATTTCTTAATAAGGGCACTTCAAATTCTCTTACTCAAGTGGCTGCCATGCAGTGCCACAGCGCATGGGTTCACAGCAGAGGAGCACTATCAAACTAATTCTTTACACGACCACTTCAGCATGAGATCACCTGTTTAGCCTTCAAAATGGAAAACAAGTACCTGCATCAGCACAGAAAAACAGCCCTGCTGTCCTCCTTGCTGCCCAAATACTTCCCTCCACAGGTTAGGTTACTTCAGAGAAAGGCACTTGCATTGCAGAAGTGAGAACAACCAGACAGTGCATTCATCTGTAACAGCTGTGATGTTTCAGATTCACACGATGCTGGCTCTGAATCGGCTTCGCACTGCAGGCAAACCTTAAAAAAAAATCTATTGTAGGGAAATGTAAAGAGAGCCCTTTGAAGAAGAAAACCCTCTCTTTGTGGGAGGATCCTGCCACCTACACTCACGAAGAGCCTTTGATTTCAATGAAAGCTTGTTTTTAGCTAAAACATCTGCAGTGCAACAGCTGAGCAGTGTCTGACTCAAAAAACCCTGATGCCTGAGAGGTCTTTGCTTCTCTCTAGAGAAGTCCTTTTAGACTTCTTGAGAGACATTTGCACTGACCACAAGAAACCACTTTGCTGCAACTTCAAGGGCTCCCACTCACACTGGGTGCTGCACTGTGGAAACTGGTGAGGATGACGGATGGCTGTGCTAAGATCTGGATAAGCCTGTAGATTGTGCGCATTTAAATCACTGTCCGTTGAGTCTGTATGAGCAAGACTTGCTCCAAAACAACTTTCAGTTCATAGCGTTTTTCCCCCTGTTCAACCTGGGACAGGTTCTTAGGAGGAAGGGGTCTTGACACAGGGGGGCTGTGCACAGCTGTGGCTGCTCTATTCCCCTGAGCCCAGGGCCAGCTCCAGTACCTCGAGGAGAGCCCTGACAGATGGAAAGAGGAGCAAGTGGCTCTGTGTGGCTTTGTAAGGCTGGTGCAGCAGCTGCACTCCTCCAGGGAAGGTTTAGCTCAGATTAGCCAAAAGGAACTCCTCTCCCCAAGACACGCTGATATGAGCTGCACAGGGCTGGTCTCAGCTGCAAATTGCTCCTCACAGGTCTTAACGCTGAGCAGCAAGGACAATCAAGAGCGGTAACAAGACACTGGGGGCCTACTTGGTATTTCAGATATGTAGGCACAGATCAGGCAGCTGTGGCTCTGGGGGGGATGTGGGGTCACAACCATGCTCAGCAGCACTTCTCAGGCCTGAACTGCATCTTCAAGATAGCTGGGGGAGGGAGGGAATAGCTACCTTCCTACAGTGAGGGCCTCCTGAGCTCTTATATCGCACTCATCCCCATGGTAGCACAGCTTTGCAATTTCCAGCAATGATGTATTTCTAGAGGACAGAACGTGCTGCTCCTGTCAGTGATGTGTTTTAACTGTTATCAGCATTTATCTGCTTCAGGAATTCAGAGTGATAAGTGGATTAAGTGCGGTAGGTTTGTAGGGCTGCTAGGTCAACATCCTCCTTCTGTCCTTTCCCTTCTCTTCCTATAAACAACCCTGTTGCCACTCCAAATGCCAAGTCTTAGAAATACTGCTGTCTGGAATTTTAAGAAATATATAGTTTTGGCATTTCAGAAGAGGTCACACATAAGACTCCGCTCTAGGATTATTGGTATGGCAGGCAAGAAACATTCTCTGCTGGAATTTGCTATGGTAGTGCCTGCTGAAAAGAAATGGTTTTGAAATTACTACCCAGCAACTACTAACAGGGTAGCATTCTGTCCCCAAGAGCCTAAGGGGAGCCTGAAGCTTTGAATATTAAATTACAATTCTATTGGTTTGGGGGATTCTGGACTGGAGACATAAAAGGGAGGAAGATGAGGGAAAGTGGGGTTATTGTGTGTTTCTGTAACAGCCTGGAGGAGGACTGATCCTCCTGAAACTTAGGTAGAACAAGCCAGGATAACTGTGCCAAAAGAAAAAAATTACAAAGCTCCTAAGGAATGGGCCATTGTAGGATTTGCCCCCATACATTACACAGTACACTGCTGCACGTGAGCAGGTCCCTGCTGCATGAGAAGGGAACTGCTTGTCCCACTCCAGATGGGTCAGGATCTGTAAGTTTGGTCCCTCCTTTAGTGCGTCAAAAGTTGACCCTTTCCCAAGACTAAATACAGCGTTGGGCCAGATGCAAGCAACAATTTCTGCATGTGGCTGGAAAGCATCTATTAATTTCACTCAAGCACTTTCAAAAGCTCATGACAGCGGCCAGCATTCCCAAGAGTGAGGAAGAACGCATCATTCTGGCTCTCACAAGCAACAAGTTTGGGCAAGTGCTGAACCTACCAGAATTGCCTGTTCACAGCTGTGTCCAATGTATACCCACAAGCAGCGGCACACACATGTGCCCACACATGCCCCCACAGCCAGTTTCAGGGAAAGTATTTATTCCAACAAAAAGACTGCTGCTAGCCAAGGCAAAAGCAACGTTGCAGAGACCACAACAAAGCCTCTTGATTGCCGTAGTGTTTAACACCACAACCAGCCGTAGGAGAAACACCGCCTGGCGCAGAGATGAGCTGCAGCAATTCAACAAGCCTGACTGCAGCGCCTGCCTGAGAGCGTTTCAGAGCATTCCCCAGCACGGCTCTGGATTCGCTGCCTTGTCAGAGACTGGCTCAATCCCCCACCGCCGCAAACCCAGCCAGCGGCAATGCAGACACACACCTCCGAGGATTCGCAATCTCTTTGACTCCTCTAACCCCGGCCTCTGTGGCTTACAGTTTCCCTCTGGCTGGTGGTAAGAGCGATAGGAGAGCTAGAACAAGCAGGGCCGTACCTCTGCCAGCATTTTACCATCGCTCTGCGTCGAGTGCCTCTCAGCAGGGCTGGATGATGCTGAAGTAAAAGCTGCCAATGCCCTCGCTAGATTCTACCCGTTGAACTGCTCCAGGGAAGAGAACAATCAGCAACTAGAAGAGAAACCAGAAAAAGAAAGGTGTTGACACCACCGTAGGGAAAGGAGGGGGTGCTTTTATGATTCCCTTTCACCAACAAAATGAGTCTGCCTCGCAAATCATCCTGCTTCTGCTCTTTTTCTGTCGCTTCACTGGAAAGATTCCTGGGGACTGAATTGTCACCAGGCGCCTGATGCGCTCACAGGGGCTCGCGCTTCAACCTGGCGGCACTCCCCTGCAGCTCCCCTCTGCAGCCCTCGTTTTGTAGCCTGCGTGACAAGCCAGGGGGCGAGGGGGATTTCACCTCCAAGGAGTCCTTTGACATCTTCCAGGAAAAACAAACAAACAAACAAACAAATTCCACCTGGCTCAGCTCCAGAGCCGTCCGGGTTGTGGGAAACACGGCTGAGCAAGAGAACGTCTGGATGCCACAACCCTCGCCCCGGGCGGGAGACAACAATCAGAGTGACCACAAGCGCTGCAAGCAGGCTCCCACCCGCTCTGAGGCAGCTGAGCGCTCTGCATTGGAGCAGCGAGGCCAGCCGCTGCCTCCCCGAACGCAGCACAGCTCCCTGCACGCCCGCAGCCACGCAGGAAAGCCCTGGAGGGCGGCGCCGTTGCCCGCTCCCCGCGCCCTCACCCACAAGATGGCGCCGTCGCCCCGGCTCGCGCCGCCCTCAGCCCCGCGCCCTGCCCTGTGGTGTCACGGATGCGGGTGCCGCGGCGGCCTCACGCAGGTCGCTGAAAAGGCAGAGTGTGCAAAAAGCAAACATCGTGCTGGTTTCACCCCGTCCTGCCCCGTCCCTTCCACACACAGAGGTGCCGGCAGTGCCCTGGGTGCTCCCCATCCCGAGCTCTCTGCTCAGAGGCTTCCTAGCCGCAGCCCCAGAGAAAACGAGCTCAACTAGGATCCATTTAAAGCGAAATTAATGCTAATTAACTGTAACCAACAACTCGCAGCGCAACGTTTATTCGGCACGCTGCCGCTATCACCGCAGCGGTTCACCCATGAGGAGAAGGTGAGCAGACGGCGGGATGCAGGAAAGGAAAACAAATTTTACCCGGGGCTCCGGCACAGCTGCAGCGCTGGGAAGTCAACCCCGTCCTGCCGCCCTCCCTTCTCACCTCCCTCCCTCACCACAGCAGCCTCGGGAGCCCTCAGTTCCCCACACGTGTGACCGGAGTGGCCCTGGGGGTGGCAGCCCCCTGGCACACGGAGTGAGGTGTGGAGGCCAAAACTCATTTTGCTCCAGCACGGTTTGTCAGTCGCCCTCGGAAGCCGTCCCTCCTACGCTGTGGGCACGTTGGAAACTCTTGCCAGCACTGGTGGGGGAGAAGTTTTATTATGAATGAGATTTCTCAACCTCCAGAGGCCTTCTGACAGCAAGTGTGGGCCCCCAGCTGGGTGCTAGGTGAGAAAACAGAGATGATCTGTACTCTGATTTTTCCTGGGAAAGCTTCTTACATACTTTCCACCCAAATCAAAATGCTGCCAAGCGCTATCGGTGATGCCGTGGCGCAGGCACAGGGAGGGTTATGTAGAGCAAGGTGACGGGGCAGCCAACGGGCACAAGACCTGTCCCTGCCAGCCACCGCCTCGACAGGTGGCCCTTATGGCTGAGCCAGTTGGCTGTGCCAGGCCCGGCTCCCCA